AACACATTATGCTAGATATTTAAGGCTTTCCTTGGTTTCTTATAATGTGCCATGTCTCTTGAAGATGTTGCTTTTCTTTCTTAAGCTGCTTATAAAACTCTGAAAACATTATATAAAGACTCTTCGTGCTATTTTTCTTCCTATATATTCCACTGTAATTGCTAAGATCACCCATACTTTTTCCTATAGATCCATAGTTTCCAAACTGTGCTTGCTATTGGGGGTACTGCAGCAAACTTGCAGGAGGCTGCAGGATATTTCAAACTTTTTAAGCAAAGACACAGCAATATTTGACACTTGTTGGTACTGTATGAACTACTTGTTTGAGGTGGTTCACAAAGCTGACCTAGGGGCACCAGGTAAAAATAGGGTGCTAAAAATTGATAAAGTTTGAGAACCTCTGCTACAGATTATTTAGATCTGAATAATAGCATTTTAATACAGTTATTTTTCAGTAGACTCCTAAGGGGGTCTTGGGAAACCCTAATGGTTCTTGGATTATAGTTTGAGAAATACTGCTATTAAACATCTTTATGATGTTTAATTTGTTTTCTTCTTGAATGTGTCAGAAAATTATACCTTGATTGTTTTGGCAATTTGCCATTAAATTTCATTAACATACTTTCAGTGCATTTTAGGATCTGTAAAAATTTCTAACATGTCTTCAAGTCAATGTCTTTCTATGTTTTTTTTTTCAATTTCAATGTCTTCAAATTTCAATTTTCAAACTTCAAGGTCTTCAAAGTGCAACTGACTTTTGAATAAGAAAAACAAATTAGGGTCTTAGTTTGGGTAGTTAGGGTTGTCACTTACCGGTTTTTGAACATATTTGGGGGGGAGAAGCGAGGAACATTACTATCTATTTTGAACTTAGTCACAATAGTTTGAGTTAGTAATGATTCCTGGGAAACTTGGAATAACAACTTGGCTTTTGTGAGCAGTCCTAAAGCATCTGGTGGAAACTGAAGAAGAATCATGTCTAAGTGCTTTCTGTCATCTACCTCACAATATACAAAACACTGAGATAAAGTGTTGGGTTTTTTTTTTTCAAAAAAGATCTCTCACTTCTTATCTGTGACAGTTCTTTTTTGACCTTCTCTTTCTGGTTATTATAGAGAGACTCCTTTTTAAGTAAATCCTTTTACTTTTATTCCCCCTGCCTATTTCTCATTCTCTCTCTTGGTGTGGTCACTGCTGAATTGAGCACAAAAGAACAAAAGCTATAATGAATACTGGTGGAAAATGAGCTCATCTCAAGGATTTTTTTTCCCCCCAAGTGATTTTTCCCATAATTTGAGAGTGGCTGTTCAAGAAATCCTATCATTATAGAATAATACTCAATGGCAGATGCTGCTTCCCTCAGTCACAGCTTTGATGCCAATAGTATTGTATGCCATTTTCACTCTTGGATTCACTCTTGGGGGTTACCGCATGGTACAGTGGAGTTTATTTTGGCCACAGAGCAGACAGCAGAAGCATTCTGGCCTAGTTTCTTTACATAAGGAATGTCTCTAGTTGCCATGTTTTTGCCTACTTCTCTAGAACACCATCTGTGAATTTTCTATTCTCACAACAATTCTATCTATTTTCTATGTGCAGAAATGATGCCATGTTCTCATTGTTTGGAGCCTTATTTGTGACTATAAGCTTCATTCTCTCTAATGTTAGAATGCCATATGCCATTCTTTGGAGTGGATATTCGAAAGCCTTGGCTGTCTAAGTTAAAATGTGAAGAACTGTAAAAAAAAAGTTAAATGAAGTGCATTTTTCTCTTTCTGAGAGAACTCTTTCATATGGGTATTGTCCCAGTTACAGTATTGTCACTTATAGTGTGGAAGAAATTCTGACTCTTAAATGATTTGGGAGATGGGACAGCATGACTGATTTCTCATACACTGAGCCTTCTGGGGAAATGGAGTCATCTAGAGTTGAATCCTAAATCCAGAGTATAACTAGTTTCATAACTTAAATTTCTAGAATCATAACTTAAATTTCCAGTCACAGAAATCATGTTAGTTATACTCATATTTTTCCCAGTGATAGCATATTGTTTGAGCCTGGAGCAGGGAAGACAGCTGGATCCAAAGTAATAAATGAGGAACAACTGGACATTCATCACACCATAAACTGTTCAATAAGACAAGAGTTTCTTTATAAAATATGACTTTGTTTATTTTTTTGTTTCTTATTCTGAAGAACAAGAATATGAATTAGCCACCAAGGACTAATTTGCCTATTTTTATAGTAAGTGATGTCTTATCACTTGTTTTTTTTTTTTTTTTTGTAAAACATTGTGTCAAATGTCATCTGGCAGAAGCTCTGACAGTGGTATATATTTTATGATAGCTGTGCAACATGTATGAATACAGTCTGAAAATTTGAAAAACGAGAGAAGAGGAATGTACCTGGGATTTGAATTGAGCAAGGTTGTCCACCTTAAATGGAACATGATGTAGATTACAGACTTTCTCAGCTTCTGGAAATAAAGAAATGAACTATTTTTAGATATCCAGTTTGGAAGTATGAATAAGTACCAAGAATTATGTCAAGCTTATTTCTATTTTTAGGCTAATCACATAACATTTGGAGAGAAAACAAAAAGGAGATAAAAGAGACCGTTTTTCTATTAACAAACCCAGAAGCAATTTTAAATGCTCTACTAAAAAGAATAGAAGACAAATCAAATAGGATTATCTAGTGCTAAGAGAAAGTGGATTCCAGAAAATACAATCTCTGATGTTCAACATTTCTCTTGTGCAAGATTTATTATTGAGTTGGTTATCATGCTATTGCAAGATAACCAACCCATCCCAAACTAATCCTCCTATATTTGAAAAGTATTGAAATCTGAAATAGTAGCATAACATAACTGTAATAATAAGTATGTTATACCAAAATAGAGATATTTTGTATTTAAAGATACTTGAAGTTTTTTTTAAAGCATTTCCTGTTCCACCTGTGTACTGTTATAAGGGCTAAAAGATTTAAAAGGAAGCCTAACTGACTCATAAAGGTTTTTTTTTAATGTATTAGTATAGTCATCAGTTATTTCTAGTATTTTAAACTCAGCTTGGAAGAAAAATCCATTGTCCTTATAAGAATAACAATGGAGCTGGTTAAAACACTGCATACACTTTGAAGTTAAAATGTTCAGCTATTGTAACCTAATAGGGTTTTGTCCAAAAAGTAAAAGCATCTTATTTAAAAATAAGGTATAAAATAAATAAGTAAATAGCATACAATAGTAAATAATTAAATAATGTATAATAAGCAAATAGTATAATAAGTAAATAGTATAATAAATAAATAGTATATAACAGTGAGTAAATAAAATAATTAAATCTCTATGGATTTTATTTAGAAAAAATATTGTCCAGATTACTACAGTGAATCCAGACAGTAATTCCAGATAAATACAGAGAAGTTCCCTTTATGCACTTGGTTGACGGAGTGTCTTTTTTTCCCCCTCTGTAAAGTAAATCAAAGCGATTTTATTGAATTCTGTGTATGCCCACTTACATCTTGACTTCAAAAAAAGAAATATTTCACAAAAAACAGCACATTGTACATATGCATTTCTCCCTCCCTCCCTCCTTCTCTCTCTCTCTCTCTCTCTCTCTCTGTACTTTAAGGAAAAAAACCCATTTCATCACAGTATAGTTAAGAGCATGATGAGATCACCTGCTTGCCTGCTCTGTGGCTTGTTCAGATGCAGATTGTTGAAAGAAAATTGGAAAGCCCATATTCTCTCTTCTTCTAATTCTCCATACTTAAACTGGGTCTGGCAGTCCCTTAAATGGTGGTCTATGCTCTGAGAAGAACGTTGTATGGCTATAATGTATCCTAACAGCAGCTTGATTAAGCTTCCTTAATTCTTGAGAGGTTAAGCACTTTTGCATATAACTGTTAGCATGCCCAGTCTCTGGAAATGGAAGTAGTAATTCCAAGGAGTAGATAAATAATTGCATCCAAATGAGTGCATAGACAGTGTAGAAAAACAACTGTGCCACACAATCCATGTCCACTTCTCAATTCATTCTAATGAGACATAAACTCTCCACATGGTTCTATTTAGACACATAAATCTCCCTTTTCCTGGATTCCCCAAATATGACCAAAGTGCAAACTTCATAGGAAAAAAACTGTGGCAGATAGAAATGAATCCTAATACAGAGCTTAATGGAAGACTGGAACTGACCACTCAGCATATAAAAAAAATGCCACAGTGTTAATCTCTGAACTACTTTAGTGCCTATTTTGATGTGAATTTTCATATATTGCTAACCTTTTATATTCTATATATTTTTGTTAACTACCTTGGTACTAGTCAGAACAGAAACAAAACAAATAAATCAAATATATGGATAAACATAGAAGCATAGCAACATCCTAAAATGTGTGCTGCCACCAGCACATAGGATGAGAAATATGAATTGCAATATTGACAAAATATCTCAAAATAGGTTATTTTAGAAATATTTTTGGGAAATTGTTGATTTGTGCTAAACCTCTTAATATTTCTATAAGTTTATAAATGATATCAACATTAGTATTTCAAATTAAGCTAAATCTGCTTGGGCTTCAAAGAACCAAAATAAGAAATAATATTGTACTTATCACCTACTACATGACATCTTTTGCATCCTTCCTGAATAAAGCATCATTAGTAAATTAAAATGATGTGTTTCCTTTAGGAAAGCCAGTATAGTGGTGAAGGCATTAGGTAGAAATTGTGAGACCATGAGCTCTGGTCCTGCTTTAGACACAAAGCCATCTGGGTAATCTTGGGCCACTCACTCTCTTTCAGCCTTAGAAAGAAGGCATTGGTAAGCTACTTTTGAAATCTTACTAGGAAAATTGCAGGCAGTTGCCAGGAGTCAACAGCGACTCAAAGGCATTAAAAAAAAATTCAAAATCTCCTTTGGTATTAGGTATATAGCTCAACTTGCCCAATAATTTCTTGTTTCAGGCAATAAATGGTATGTTTTTTTCCCCTCTAGGTTGAAACCAAAGGTCAAATAAAGACTTTCCTTTCATCAAAAGAGCCATCAAATTTTATCTATCTCTTGTCACCCCAGTGCATTGGTTGGAGAGTCACTACTGCCATGTGCCATCACTTCCTGCCACCCATTGGGCCTAATATCCCTTTGTCTCATCTGCCTAAGAGGAAGCCAGTATTATTGCCACATCAAAAATTGGAGCCAGTAGTTACAGAGAAGAAAAACAAACGCTTGTCTTTAAGGTATGAATTTCCTGGACCTACTTATTTAAGTATTTAATGTGTTTTGATATCCTTTTAATGCTTCTCATTTTCATCTTCCTCATAGCTTATAAGGTTTTGGAAGGAATATCTGGAAATTAATTAATAGATATTGATCAGAACTCTGGACGAAGTAGAGATTTGTCTACTTTGAATAAAGGCTCTTTTCTCTCTCTCTTGTTTCACCTTTCTGCATGATAACGAAATTTAAAACTGGTCTTTGAATAAAAAAAAACATCAGACATGGCAATATCTAAGATTAAAGCTTTTTAAATTTCTTTTGAGAATTCATTCAAGCAAGACAGTTTGATAAAAGGTAGTGATAATCCGAGAAAAATAAATGAGATACAGTATATTAATAATATATTTATGGCCTAATTCTGACCATATCTGTAGAAGAGATTCAAATACACGATTTTAATCCAAGGATTAAAATGTATGTTTTCATCTCAAGGATGATTATGTTAATGAATGTATTTATTCTTCCTGACTATCTCAGGAACATTCTCCCAGAACATTCTTGTGGTTCAGAACACATTTTTTTCTTGGAAAACTTGCATTTAATTATTTGATCATACTAACTAATTTGTTCACATTCATCCTCTATGCTCATCTTTCTTTCATCTCCTTTACTTTTCATTAAGTATTGACATTCAAACTGAAGCCCTTGAAGGATGTAGACCTGTCTATCTTTTTAGTCAGATTTATTGGCTCTCCCTAAATTAGTAATCAGAGCAAACAATTTGGCGGCAGGGTCTGTATTTTATAGAAACAAGGACAGCAGTTGATGGACCAATATTGTATTTATTTATTTTTAAGATTTATAAGACTGCCAAACTTTTGGTAGCAGACAACATAAACAAATAAATAATTAAAAAAGAAAAAAAATAACAATAAAAAATACAAAGTATACATGCAAAATGTAAAATATATGTCATTTAAAGGGGACAGGGGTGATGTCATTTAAAGGGGACAGGGGTGAGATTTCGGAGTTGTATGGTTTTGTGATTTTTGTTCCTATAGTTGTCTTGTACATTTGTAAAAAAAAAAATTCTTGCTTGAATATGGAAATCCCTTTAGTTTTTAATGACAGTATTTCTGATGTCTTTAGAAACCGTAAAAATAGATTCAGGAATTAGCTTAGTAATGAGTATAGGTTATACTTGCCCACAGATATAGCCTGCCGATTTCAAGGTGGATTACTTTTACATTTGATCTTAGAAGAGTGTGCTTAAGAACATATTACAAATCTGATGATGACCACATGAGAAAATTGGATAGAGGAATGTGAAAACTAGTCAGCAAAAATGTGAATCAATACACAATTGAAAGTGATTTAAAGAGACAGTTTGTTACATGATTTTGGCAGTGACTATGCTAAGAATTTTGGTGACAGCTTAGGAGAGAGCCTGGACACCTGTATTACATTATTAGGGTACACAAACAGCCTGTAAACTATATTTGTTCATCTCTGATTAAATTGATAATCCTATGGTAAGAACATCACTAGTGTTTTGCAATATTTTGAAGTCTCACATATCTTTGAAATGAAGACCACTTATTACAGGACAAATAGCAGTGTTCCAATGTTTAGGGGTTGCCATAAAGAAGAGGGAGTCAAACTATTCTCCAAAGCACCTGAAGGCAGGACAAGAAGCAACGGATGGAAACTAATCAAAAAAGAGAGAAGCAACCTACAACTAAGGAGAAATTTCCTGACAGTTAGAACAATTGATCAGTGGAACTACCTGTCTCCAGAAGTTGTGAATGCTCCTACACTGGAAGTTTCAAAAAAGAGAATGGACAACCATTTGTCTGAAACAGTATAGGATTTCCTGCCTGAGCAGGGGGTTGGACTAGAAGACTTCCAAGATCCCTTCCAACTGTGTTATTGTATTGTATCGTACTGTAAATATGAAAGTATTCTAGACTAAATTTTGCTTGCAATTAAGTAGTTCTTCATGTGAATATAAATCAAATCAATTGAAATGATACTAATACTGTCCAAATGTTGATTAGATAACATTATGCTATAGTCAAAATGGTCTGAGGTACAAATTTTGTTGATGGTAAAGCAATTCTATTGTCATTCTATACAGGTAGTCCTTGAGCTATGACTGCAAATGGGATTGAGATTACCATTGCAAAGTGATGAGGTCATAAAGCATGATGCCACATGATCACATTGGTTAGTGATGGCAATTCAGGTTGTTCTTTTAACCCAAGACATGTGAGCTATTAAGCAGGAAGTGGAGAAAGTTTCAGGTAAAGAGCAGGGGTGCTGCAGAAGGGACGGGAAAGGATTTCGTGTTCTGGCTTTAGCAAATAGGAAAAACATTCATGCAATTGGCAAGCTAATTGCAGGCATAATACAGGTGCTTGGGAGACAGTAGCATTTTGGGAACAATATGTTTGCAGCGAGGCTTGTAAGAACATCAGGAAGACTTGTCTGGAGAGATGTTTACAGCGAGGCTTGTAAGAACATCAGGAAGACTTGTCTGGTGACAGAGTGGAGTCAACTGAAGAGGAGTTGTAGAAACAAGAGAAAGCATGCACCTGTGCACAACTTACTAGTGGCTAAGGAGAAGGTATAATCCAACTAGACATTCTATAATCCAATACCTCACAAGAGCTTGAAAGTACCAAGAAATGAGCTAGAGACTTGAAGTGGTCAGTAACACTTCAACATCAACATGAAGCAGAAGTCAAGAACAAGAATTCACAAAGCCGGATGCCCAAGTTGCTTCTATTGTGGGAGATAGACTCTGCAGTTTACATCCTCTCACGGCTTAACATGCACAGGTGAGGCTTTCTTGCCCAGTGATTTCCAATAATTAGGAACTGGGCTTGCTTGAAGTCAGCATTTTGTGTTTGTTTGCATGGCACTTTGCCAGGGTGCAAGATTCCCAGGCTAGAAAGTTTGCCTTTCTTTTGGCACCCATGTTGGCCAAAAGAAAGATTAGTACTAGCTGAGGAAGGGCCTGAGAGGATATCAATATTGGATTTAGTTGCTGTTAAATCACTAGGTGCAGGACCCAGTGGGACCTGATCCATTTGCGTGTTGAAGCCTGGCTTTGAGACCATTGCAGAAGCCCAGTGCAGGCTGCATGTGATTGGGGGAGAAGGGTGCTGTGTGGAGTGAGTTTAGGAAGGCCAGGGAAGGAGGGCATTGGTGGGTGTGTGCATATGTGTGAGTACTGGGAAATCAGCTTTATTTGGGATAGTGATTCAATACTAATACTAGTACTAATACTAGTACTAGAACTAATAATAATGTTGGAAGGGACCTTGGAGGTCATCTAGTCCAACCCCCTGCTCAGGCAGGGAACCCTATATGCAAGTAAGTTTGCTTTATGTCCCGTTTTCTCTCCACTTAAGGTTCAGGATCATGTCATATCTGATGCATATTTGCTGCAGAGTTACCCCTAATACAATTTAAAAGCCCAGAGTGGAAAACTGTAGGCAGAGCTTTTGTTGTGAAATCGTTCATTCCCCTATTTAAAAGCAAAACATTACAATAAGCTATGTTTCTTTTTTTCTAAGAATGAAGTTATTAAAATATTTTGCTTCAAATTTTCTGCCTCTGGGACAGCATTTTGTTGGAATAATAAGAACACTAGTAGTAACGTACAACATTACTCACCATGCCATGTAATTTGACTTGGAATTCCTGAAGAACATTACAATATTGATTTTATTTGGATAGAGGGTAATTGAGAAGAGATTTCTGTTAATTATACTTAGGGAACTTAACAAGCATTATTGCAAAGTAGGAGCAAACATAGCAAGTTGTAATTAATCCAAAATACAATAATGCCCCCTTGAATCCAAAGATTCAACCAGAAGCTTCCTAGTTCTTTTGTATGGTTCTTAAAAGAAATACCTGATTTCTCTTCCCCCCACCCTGTGCAGACTGTAAACATGTTCTCTGTGGATTTCCTTGCCAAATTGCCTTTGTTCTAAATAGGAAATCCTATTCTAGAAGCTCAGATTAAATAGTATCCATCTTTATAAAACACTCTGTTTGATTCAGTAAATCCATAAAATGTATGCATGGAATAGCACATAGAAGAGAGGATGGGTAATGGGAAGGTTGCTTTATGTCTCATAGCAGTATTTCTCAAACTGTGTTCTGCAGAACATTATTACCAGTATCGCCAAACAACTTGAAAGGAATCTAATAGTTGATCCCAAGATTCAAAGAAGTTTGGTTCAATTGGGATCTATTCAGTTTCACTATTCAGACAAGTCCTCTATTCATGAGCAAAAGCCCCTTTCCTCAGCAGAAAAAAACAATTAAAAAAAATTAGTAAATAACTTTGCCTGAAAATTCACAGAAAATATGAGCCATTAAGTGAAAATAATAATAATAATAATAATAGTCCTGCTTTCTTTCCCATCAGCATAATTTTGTGAAAATATTCTTCAATACTCTGTAGGAATGGACTGAATATTCAATGTTTCAAAGACCTTAACAAATCTCTTCCCAAACACTCATGAAATATGCAGGCACAGCTCATAGATCCCTTTAAGATTTTTAATCATTGCAATCTTTAAGGAAAATAAAGAACATTAATTATCTAATTAGTCTTTATTTCAGTATTCCCCCCTCCTCCTTTTACAGGCATTCTTCAGATAATGGCACACTGGAGAAATCCAAGGTTTTAAAAGGTGCTACGGGGTGCTCTGCAAAACCTGTTTTTCCATTAAAACCCACTTTCCTTGAGAGTTGGGGGGGGGGCTTCATGTTCCTCTTGTCCATCCTGCCATATAGGTTGAAAACTATAAGTATTAAGCTTCATATTCTTGCTAGCCTTTAGTGAACTAGGATTTATCATGCAAAGTACATTTGAAACAACCTGGTAAAGATATGCCATTATTATTATTATTTTAATATTGCAAGTGATAGACTGAAACTGAGGGCTGATAACTACTCTAATCACATCAAGGCAGAAGTAGAATTAGAAGCTGAGACTGCATAT